GGCAGGAAAAATAATAATCTCAGGAATTGTCTTAGGCTTGACGATTGCGTGCGATTGGGTGCGATTGGAGGCTAGCGATGCGGCAGGCGAAGGGAGTACCCGGACGGGCAGGGAGGTTTCTTTCCCCAGGCGCAACGAGAGGTAGGGAGATGCGATGCAAATCGCGAGTTGCGACAAGTTGCCAACGCAGTGCCTGCAGGAGGTCCAAAGAGGAAAGGCGAGCTATCGGCGACTGGACTGAGTCGCTGATGTTGGATTTGCTGTTTTAGTGCCGGAGGTCGTGAACTGATCGGGTCAGGGTTCGGCAGCAAATATGTGGAAGGGATAAGTCGTAAAAGTGGGAAAAAGCCGTTATCCTTATGAGTCAATAAAAAGGGAAAGATGAAGGGGGAAGGGGGAAGGGAAAAATAATTAAATCAATGCCATGAAGCTGCAGTGGAGACTTACGATAGACGTATTACCGTATGGTAAAGTATAACAATACGTGGTATTGTATCTATACACGTGGCTCGCTTTGCCCTACAGAGCATAGAGCAGGTAATTTCCTAGTTCTTAACACAGATAGACAAGGATTTATCGGGGGTAAACAAAGATCGGATGGGAAAAAGGGAGGACCTTATGATTAAATACTACTGCCTTCAAATATGTCGCTATGACAGCTAAGTACTACACCAAGTGCCTATCACAATGAGAGGCTGTGATAATGTGGAATGACTGCCAGCAGATGGCACCCGTCAGGTCTTATTGGGCCTCTAGGATCCCTGGGGAATGTTATCGGGGATGATCTGTGTTTCAGATGCGTTGGACAGGAGCCCTACGAATAATTCTAGTGGAGATCACAGTCTATTTCATTCAAACTTCCGTATTACAATGGAAATGCCCCGACAGAGCGGTCCCGGGGAAGATATGCGGAGTCTTGCGTTTTGATCTCTTTCTCCCTTTTTTACTTTCCCCCTTATCTGAGGTCTCTATATTCCAAGGTTGCGGTGTACCTATCTCCAGATGCCAGATGATGTTGTATACCCGATGTCTGTAGCCTGACCGTCATTCCACACTAGGGCTGAATCCCTGAACCGGTGTGGCTGTGAAACGGTGAAATGGTAGTGGACCCTATCGAGTTTGCGCGAACACCTGAAAAATGTCTCCCAACGTGATCATCTCTGCCCTAGGCCCGCTTTCGGGAACCTGTCTGTGTAGTTTCTCTAGTATAGCTACGAACGTTAGCATTGTACAGCTACATTGTACATCTACAGTAGGCAAGTCCCAGCCGCATCTGCAACATCTGCGGGGTGGCATGTCAACCCCGCAGCCGTTAATGAGTTGGCGATGCCGTGCTTCTCCCATTTCCTTGATTTCTGCCTTGTTCTCATCCGCTACAGCCGAAAGTGACCCCCCCTCAATACAATACACCTAATCCTGCACCTGCACGTCACCCGAGAAGGAATCATACGGAGATAGCTCATCCACAGCCGCACAAGGATCTTGTTCAGACCTCACACGTTGACCACGTATGTTGCTGTGGTTCCCTTGTATTCGAATGAGTGGACCATAGACTATCCCGAAACGGCAATAGATGTCACCTCTTTTTGGATTTCTTTTTTTTTGGGCCTCTTTTTTCTTGCCTCACTACTGCTGACTTGATCGGGTGTATCCGTGTTCTCTGATATGGCGGTTGTGGCGGGTTGGTTAGAGTCGGGATGTGAGATTCGAAAAAGATATGAATCCTGCAGAATCAACACATTATCACGTTATACGTTATCCTGGGCATCCATATCACGTCAGTCTTAAAGAGCGGTGGCTGAGGATCGGCCGAACAGCCACTCTTCATGGCAATACACCGCTACTGGCTCTAGTGATCTCCACTGGGATCCCACCTTGATGATCGCGGGATAAGAGGGGTGAACATCAAATCCCGTGCGCTTTCACGGATATCAGTTTCCTCTGTGATGCCTAGGTCCAAGTCTGTTGCCCCGTGACCGTTATCCAATCCTGTCTCAAATCCTAGCGGTGACTCTCCAGGGATGTTCGGAAGCCACGGCAGAGAACAGAGGATTCGAAGATTCTTAGGTTCTTCCATTGGCTTTGGTGGAGTTAACGTCGACCCACTTGACAGCATTGTAACGATACTGCCCCCTAAGTCCCTTTGTGGCTAAGCAGAAATAGAATAGGTAGAATAGGTAAAATAAAGAGAATCTTTGACTTTCTTTGTGAGATATTACAGGGTACCCCTGCACTCCATGCACATGTAATACCAGTCAATCTCGCAGCCGTTCCTTGCTACGATCCCTAGATGACGACTCCCCGCTTTTCCAGTAGTGTCAGTAGTGTATGGAGTATGGGACGGGATCTTCTTGATTGAATTCTCCGGGTTAGATTTCAGGAATGTAAAGTAAAATAACGTCTAATATGTGATATCTCATCCTACTGGCTGGGATCTTCGGAACTGGTGACATCATGACGACGAAGTCTGTATTACCAATACGGTATGGCCCTATACATAAAATCCGACCACATTTCAGGGGTGAGTATGGAGTATGGAGTATGGAGTGTATGCTCATTCTTAAGGGATCTTCAGGAGGGTAAGGCTTCTCCATTCCACTGTAATCTTATCCCTTTCTCCGATTTCCAGCGCTTTGGGTCAATTTTCGAAACTTCACTTTCGTTACCCAGGGGGATGGAACCGTTGCGCCTCAAGGTATATTGAGCTACTCTTTACTGTCTTGAAAAAGAGATATCCCCTTTGATACACGTCCCACAGTCACAGCGCATAATGGAAACTATCGAATGCCACCCCAAAGGCCTGACATGTCTCAGATAGCTCCTTCCAATCCTTCGACGCGTCTTCCATGCGAATTATGCAAGGCTCAGCCCGTCTAAAATACCCTCTCCACCGCCATAGAAGCCTGTCTCAAAAGACATGCGCTAGGGTCATCCCGCCATCCTCGGGCCTCTCTGATGCGGCCTCCCGGCTCTGCTGGCGCCAGGCGATGGGGTTGGCTCTCGTTTACACTCTCACCGTCACCGTCACCGTCACTCAATCACCTCATCCCCACCAATAACGGCGTGTGGCGGGATGGTGATCCCCTTAGCCGTCGCATTTCAATTCCGCCTGCAGCATGAAAGAAAGCTGCCTCTTTCAAGGTTAGCTTGTTACCTTACCGTGTGACTCGTTTTGATCTTTCTTCCCCCCATCTCCGAGGCGTTTAGTGTGACCTTTCTACCCCTCATAGGGCAGCGTTGACTCGCACGTTACTGTGTAACTGCAGTCATTGCAATTTGTCCTGGCCCCTTTTAGAATGACGTTTCTGTTTCAGACGTATCCCGGTGTCGGTATGATGCCATTTTTGTCTTACTGTCCCGTGTACCATAGTGGTTACATGTACGGCGGTGATGCCTGGTTTTGATGCCAGTTCGGGATTGTCGATGTTATCCGTAGCCTATGTTGTCATATGATCACAGCTGAGACTCGGGATAGTATCTGATGTACATGTACATGCACATGTTCAAAGATGTCGAATCTGGAATCTTGAATACGGGACTGTATATTGACGGCAAAGCGGGTGTTTGAGAGCTTTACCGGTTTCCGCTTGGAGTTTGCCTCATGACCCGTCGGATCTTGCCCTAATTTTGTGGCTGCGCTAGTTAACTAGGTCTGATATGAGAGACATCCTTAGGCCACCATTCCCACTTTTCATCCGCAGCACTAATGTATGAAGCTGCGATTGGTTGTAAGCAACCAGTGTGCATTCTCAGCCTGCCACTATTTCCACTCTCAGCCTCAGTGGGGCAAGAAGGGCAGACAGTTAGAGATATGGGGAATTAACAGGAATTAATCCCCGGCGTTGCAGCCAAAGTGCACGCAATTCCCGTGCCGGCTATACTATACTATAGTGTCCACGCGTTTCGTCCGCGTACCCAATTTACTTTGCCGTGATTTATCTGAAGCTTTAAGCAACTTCAAGGAATCACATTTATCGATTGCCGGGGCCAAAACATGCCCGTCGACTCCACGTCTTGTCGCAGATCGGGGTCTAAAAATATCGTGGCTTAACCCCACTGGACAACTTGGCTTCCAGAATTTTCCAGTACGCCCACTTCGGCATTTCACGATGATTCAGATTGAGACTCAGTTCGGGTTCAGGGCTCAGTCCCCATTCTCCATTCTCCAGTCTCCAGTCTCCATTTCTCAGGGCTCAGTGGCAAATAATGTTAATCCTAACTTCAAACAAAGAAACCCCTTTCATCTTTTAGCCCGATACATGGCCAACAAAGCTGGCTTGGCGGGGTTTCGCCCGTCGAGCCCGTGTAGGCGTATCAGAGAGCTGTGTGGATCTTGGAATACGTGTATGGTATTGTCTGAGATTTCTTGTGTTCTGGGATTTCACTTCTGGTGGGTTATGTATGCATTGCATGCATTCAGCCTCTTACCCACAGGTTCGCCGATCGCTACAGTACTTATACCATGCAAATTGATAAGTGTTATATTGAATCAAAGTATTCATCTTTAAAGTATTTGGTAGTTCAATATTGAATACGAAATAAATACATGGAAGTGTACTCATAAAAGAGGAGATACTCTGTACTCTGTAATCAAAGAGATTAGTCCACGTAAAATCTGTTCGGTCCACTTTTCATCCATGCGCCCTAATCCCGTATATGCAATTTATGCGAAACGTACGCGAATGTGTTTGAGTGGTTCGGATCCCACCGGTTGGCTCGTAATTGTAACGTGTTGAGCTTATTGGAGGCGGATAACAAGTACCAAGGATACCTGTTAAGTTACTGTCAACTTACATGTTATAGCTTTTTGATATAGGCGTTCGGTGTGGAGGTATAGATGATAGGGAAATCAGGAGAAATAGAAGATGAGATGAGATGTGAAGAAATGTAGTCCTGGAGATGTCGGGTTGTTGGGGTGACTCACGCGGCCTTCGCCCGCCCCCATCTTTGGAAGGTGAGACGTCGCTTGACTACCGAGATATCTACTTAACCTCGCAGACATGGACATCTCAAAGCCAGTTGACGAGAGTTTCGTTAAAGCACTGCCAAAGATCGAGGTATGATTCATTCTTCTATAACTAGTGTCTCTACTAACAGAGTCCAGCTCCACGCTCATCTCAGCGGCAGCATCAGTCGTCAATGTCTGCACGAGTTATGGAAGCAGAAGAAGGCCTCTGACCCTGACTTCGATGTGGAAGACCCCTTAGTTCTCATGCCTCTGGGAAAGGTGGATTATGACCTGAAGACGTGAGTTAACAACTCCGGACAATGAGGCCATCAGCAACGCTAACAACTGCCAGCTTCTTCTCAACCTTCTCCAAGTTGACCTACCAGATCTGCAATGACCTGAAGAGCCTAGTATACGCCACCAACTCAGTGCTCCAAGACTTCCTAGACGATGGAGTCGTGTATCTCGAGCTGCGGACCATCCCACGGGCGTCCCCTGGTATAACCCGAGATGAATACCTCAACACAGTCCTAACAACAATCGAAAATTTCAGAACCAAAACCACGCAAATGTCCGTGTCTCTAATCCTAGCCATAGACCGTGGCAGCATGAATGCAGCCGAAGCAGACAAGATCGTCGATCTCGCAATCGCAAACAAGCCGCGCGGGGTCGTCGGCGTGGACATATGCGGCAACCCAACAAAAGGCGACGTCAGCATCTACAGGGATGCTTTCTCGCGAGCGAAATCCAACGGGTTGGGCATCACATTGCACTTTGCCGAGACAGTCGCCTCGGCCTCCCATGTTGAGCTGGCGACGATGCTTTCGTTCATGCCTGATCGGCTCGGGCATGTTATCCATGTGCCTGATGAGTTCAAGCAGGAGATTTCTCGGCGGAAGCTCGGTCTTGAACTGTGCATTTCATGCAATGTTCATGCGAAGATGATTAGTGGTGGTTATTTGGATCATCATTTTGGGTACTGGCGGCATGAGGACTGCCCGATCGCGTTGTGTGTAAGTTGTTCCTTTCACGGGGGAGGTGTTAAAGTTGACTTTTCCTCTGACTTGTTTCTTGCAGACCGATGATGTGGGCTTTTTCTGTAGCCCTGTCTCGAATGAGTACCTTCTAGCCGCGCAGCATTTTGGCTTGAACCGTGAGGCCCTCCTGCAGATCTGTTACAAGGCTACAGAGGCCATTTTTGGCAGTGAAGCTGAGAAAGAAAGAATTGCTCGGATGCTGGATTTGTTTAAGGTGGATATGAGTAGGTCGTGACATACAGAAGTCTGCTCGAGTGTTACATATCTCTACCTGTGAGTGTGGCCTGAAGGCGTATTATTAGTTGGCTACTGTTTTCCATCAACATATCTCATATCGCATTGCATGTCTATACCACACCGGAATGAATTAAATGTTGTCACAGAGTCATGAATGCCTAAGATACAATAGGGGTCATAATTGTGTATATAGTGCCATGAAGTATTGGACAGTCTCTAACGAAAGCCTCGAAGCGAGTATACCGTCTCATGTATTGTTTTCGCCCTACTTTAGCCTCTCTTTTTGCCTCTACTTTGCCAATTTTCGAGTGCCTCAAGTTAACCCCTGTTGTGTTCTGAACCAGGATCAAGCAAATTTGATTTCATTCATTGTGTTTCGAGTTAAGAATTATTTTGAAATACATAAGCCACCCCCTATCATAAAGGTATCAACCAAGTCTAACGAACAGAAACAAACCTCACCCTCAACCCTGCCATCTGAACCGACCCTCGCGCAGGGTCTTCACAACACCGAGTGGCATAAACTCCCGCTTTGCCGCAGCAAGACTACCATAAGTGCGAATCATCTCATCGTGATACAGCTGCGCAACCCACCGCCAGTAGGGGGTCATGGCATACCAATCGCTAGAAATCGGCGAGTCCATTTCCAGGATTTCCTGATCCGCTGCAAAGCCAGGAGTCAGAGCCACACCGTCCTCCTCCGGGACTCGACACAGAGCCTTGTACGCGTGCCAAAGGCCAGAGCTGTAGGTTTCCGGGTAATTGTTGAATTCTTCGAGGGACATGAACGGCAAGGGCTTCCCGTCTGTATCAATCAGCGATGGGGCCTTGTTGTCCGGTCCGTCTTCCTCAAACTTGGTCTTGAAGGATTGGTAGGCTTTCTCATCCAGGAGAGCTGCCTTGTGCAGGATCTTGCGCGGAGTCTCTTTGATATTCTCGCGCATGGCAAGTAGTTTGATGAACGGGTTGAGAAGACCCAGACCGCCAATCTCGGGGGGATAATAAAAGAACCCGTCAGGGAGATCTTTGACACTGAACCTGTCGCCGATCATCTTGCGGAGGTATTCGGTGACACCACTGGTCTGGTCCGAGGTGCCGGTACCACTTACGCCCTTGTTGAACAGTGTGCGCTCAATGCGACTGAGAGTGGAAATGGCCATGTCGATGTGGTCACGGCCGAAGCAAACAGCTGGCTTTGCAAAGTTGTTTGCGAAAAAGCGACCGAAGTAGGCGTTCCAAGCTTGAACCCAAGCAAAGACGCTCTTACAGGACGTCAGCTGGCGCGAGAGCTCTTCGATGTGCTTGTCAACTTGAGTCTGGTCAATGGTGAATTTACCTTTCTCTGCATCGAGAACCAGGAAACCCCAGCGAATCTCACCGGCGGGGAGAACTGTGTTTTTGCGGTTGCGAGACTTGCCCATCATCACTGTTCCGGTCTTCTCCTTGTTGAACTTGAGACCCATCACTCCACAAAACTGAGACATCGCTTCCCATGCCTTGATGCAGGTCTCTTCCGCTCCCCAGAACCAGAAATCATCATGGAGTCTGTAGAGGTAAGCTCCGTCTGTGCTTTGATTGACTGCGTAGTCCATGCAGAAGAGAACAGCCTCTCCAAAGCAATCAGCAAGCGTGTGGCTCATTGGCAGTCCACGCTGGCGAATTTGGATAGCAGCAGCTGATCCATCCTGAGAAAATTTAAGCGGAGCCTGTAGGAATACCCTGAAGAAGTTGAGCCACATCTCTGGAACTCCGAAGTACTCGAGCACTGTGAGCAAAGTGGTGTGAGGCATTGAAGGACCGAACCATTCAAAGTCGGACCGCACTGCTGTGAATTCTCCACGCTGATGTTTGTGGAGGATAGACTCTGTGATCAAGAGGTGAAGAAGAGAGTGTTTTGTGTCCAAAGCATTCTTTGCCTTCTTTTCCTCCTTTGCGATCCAGTCCCGTTGGCCTTCATTGTCATCATCATAGTCGCGTGCACCTTCGTTAACCGAAGTAGGCAGTTGGCTCATAAAGTACTCATCCTCGTAAGTCTTCTTCCGAGTCTCATTGACTTTTTTCGGAATCTTGTTAGCGTGGGTAATCTCTAAGCTTCCATTTTGACCCAAGAAGTATCTGCGTCGCTCTTTATGCTCTTCGGGTATGTTCTCGCGTAGAGGCTTCCAGGCGTGAGAGTGTAGGAATGTTTCAAATACCCGTCGAAACTCCACAGACCAAGTGGTTCCCAAGTACTGCAGAAGAAGGGCATCAAGGAGGTCTTCGTCCATGAATACTCGATACTTCCCGTTCAGCTGCCGACGCATGTCGATGGAAATCCCGTTCCCATCCCAGGCCCAGCTGTCAAGCGAAGCAATTCGCATGTTCAACACATCTGCAACTTCCTGAGCAACTTCCTGGTTCCGCATAAACTCCTTCAGAACTGATGATTTCTCATTGCTGAGGAGATCAGTCTTTAGTAGTGCCTTGGATATCCATTTGAGGTTGTGCGTATCGATCCATTTTCCTTTCGATGCCAGATTATTCGCAAAAGAGTTAATGCTTGCTTTGAGGTTCTTGATCGCCTCACGAGAAAGCTCCGTCTGCTTGAAAAGATGATCGAGATAATCCTTGATTGCTTTATCGTTGACGTGGGTAGCAGGAGTGAATACCAGGGCTTCCCAAGTGGCGCGTTGCTCGTGCATCTCAGCTCGTCCAACCTGCTGGAAGTGGGTATCCGATTGGGCGGCATTGGTTTCGTCGGTAGTGTCCAGCTCCGATAGCCACTCGGTGACTAGCTTGCTAAAGAATGCGCCATGTTCATGCTTGGTCTCCAGGAAGGTCAGCTCCTTTTCAAGCTGGTCAATCCAGTTCTGCAGAGATGACTGAGAGATCGAACTGTCGTAAGGACCCTGAAGAAGGAAGCGGCGAATATTGGAGTGGTCAGATGAGCTAGTACTAGACTTGCGGCGTAGCATGTGAAGCGGGGATGTGTAATCTTCTTCCGAGGCCGAATCCGAAGAATCGGCGTCCAGGTCGCTGTCATTCTTATCGAGTGAGTCCTTAGGAAGGCCTTTCAGACGTGAGATTCCATCCAGTAGAGCGTGAGCGCGAGAGCGCAGGTTAGTTGCAGCATTGGCAGCCGCGAGAATTTTCTCCTTGTGCTGGTCAAAGAGTGCGCGCTGCTTGGAGAGTTCGTTGATCTTTGTGGCAGTGATGGCCTTGAGGGTTTGAGGGAGGGCCCCAGCCATTGTGATGGAGTTGAGACTTTGAAGTAGTGAGCGGGCGAAGGAATTGTGTTGAGGTCGAGAAGTTTGAAGATATGGAGTGAAGAAGTGAGTTGGAGTTGGACTTGGAGTGATGGGAGATGGGAGGTTAAAAAGCTGAAAAGGTGAGAGGGAGGGGGGAGTTCTTTAAGTACAGCAACTGAGAGGCAGCAAAGACGAGGCAATTGTGACTCAAAGAAGGACTTTGGATGACTTCCAACGTTGAAGAAAGATGTTTGTTGTCGGGCAACTGATTGAGGTGATGAACCAGTTTCTGCTCCACCTCGGGATCCAAATCGGGTATAACGTCAACAACGGGCACTTGATCGAGCTATAAGTCTAACTATATCAGCGTCATGAACATGCAAGTCTTTGAACGGTCGGCTTTTGTTGAGGTAGCTTGTCCCGTCTACCCTAGTACTTGTTCCTGCATATTTGTGCTTTCACGCGTTGAAACTCAATATCTAGAACCCGATATGTTAAGCATTTATGAGTCTATGATATGACATTTAGTTTATTCCGGTGTGATATAGACATGCGATGAGATGTATCTTTTTAGAAACAGTAGTCAACTAATAATACACCTTCAGGTCACACTTATAGGTGGATATGATAGAGGTCACAAGTCCTTTAACACATATACCTTTATATAATCTATACGATAAACCCGAGGCACTCGAAATAACATAAAAAGGAGATGAAAAAAAAGAGGCTAAAGTAGGGCGAAACAATGTATAAGACGACATACTTGCTTCGCGGCTTCCGTGTAGAGACTGTCCAATACATCGTAGCACTATATACACATGTATAACCCCTGTTATACACAGCTTGTAGCATATATTGCCACCAACTTTTCTGTCTCTTGAAGTCATGTAACGCCCTTGACTTACCTTTCAAGCCTGGTAAAAACAAGGGCCCACTTGAGTGATAATCTATCAAGTAGATGGATATGCATACACCTCCAAAAGATATGACGCATTTGGACGCCCTCGTAGCTGGAAGACGAGGATTATGAAAGGCCCTACAAAAAAGCAAACTTGTAGAATAGTTCTGCAATACTATCTGAGATCTTTCGTAGAATCTAGAAACCGAAACCTAATCCTGTTAGATTCAGGATGAATGTTTGGTAGAGTCATTTTGGCAGCATGGATAACTCCAGAGACCAATAACAGCATATGGCGTAGTAGCACCGAGTAACATTCTCGGTAACTGGTATTATGTGTTATGAAGTATATATGTAATGTTCATCTACGGCTAGGTGTGGGACTTCATGCACGGCGGTCCCCCAGTGTTTATCTAGAGAAGACTCTGTCTGTATAGCCTGCTTGGCCGATGTATAATCTACTGCTTCATTTACTGTTATGAAACAATTGTAGTAATCTTTTGTGCCCGAGTGGTTGGCTGGCACTAGCTATTGACTCAGGCCAGCCGAAGAATGATCCCAGGAGGCCATCTCAACGGCACACATAAACAGAACTCAGGCATAAGCTATATGCGATTTCGTATTGATCAAATCATAAAATGGTATATATTGCTGTTTCTAAGCTCTAACGGGCGATATCAGCATGTAAGACTCATCCCAGTTCACATAAAATGAGGCCAAAACGCATAATCTGAAAAGTGAGCTTCCAATAGTAAAAAGTAGATTGACACTATCAGCGTTGCTCAGACATAAATTTTAGACTACTTTTAAGCTCATTTACAGCTTATTTCCCCGCGTATTTCCCCTCATTCTGCCACTGCTATTCTCAATCTCCTCGCTCTCGCCCTTCGCTGTCACTATGATGTATACTTCGGCCGATGAATCGGAAGACCACCGTGGTTCATCATGCCGTTATCTTGGCTCTCTCAAATTTTAGCGAAGTTGGCCCCGATTTCCCCTAGATTGGTCTAACCTAATTGGGAACTATATATGACTGACTTGTGGTATTCCTTCCTTATGTCCGTCTTTTCAACCATGAATTTCTCTTGAACTCACCTATATCCAGGAAACTGCTACCTCGAATCTATGGATTTCAAACGGTCTCTCTGTACAAGGCTTAGTTCGTTGAGTCACTTGTTCTATGTAAGCCCAATCTCGCTCACTTTTCTCCTCTTCTTTTCTTTCTTCTTCAAATATCTCTCACTTAAGGCTCGGTCTTCTGTCACTCTTACATCATTACATCATTGGTCATCGACCCTTAAGTATACTTTGAATATACTTTGACTCATCCCATACAAGAATATACCATATACTCATACAAAATCAAGGGCATACAACATCAACATCCGTTACCTCTTAGGCCTTACAATATACAACACCAAAGGCTATATACAACAACAAGGATGAAGTCCACTGAGTCTCAGACCCGACGGGACCAGGAACCCACCCGGTTCTCTGCCACTTCCGGCATGGCGAACATCGACCCATGGTAAGTCCTCTCCATTCTGTTAACTTCATCACATACTAACATCGTCTCCAGGACAGTACAAGTCCACGAAGTCGCCAGCATCAACAGTCTCGCTCGCTCTCGCTCTCTCCCGACATCTATACCGAGAACCACGTCGTCATCACCGACCCTGGTCTATGACCGTCTCTTCAGCAAACATCGGGCAAACATCGCCAACTGGATTGCTACAACCCCCAGATATGAGACCATAGAAGGCGACGACATGGAGAATAGCAGCTACAACAGCAGCAACGAAACCCTGGTCAACGAAGACCTTGGTCCATATCACCTGGAGGCCATTCCTCCTTTCCCTCGACCCAACCTCACCGGGTCATCACTTTATGGGCTGCAAAACCAGTTGCTGCACCCCCGAATGAGTAGTTTCACCGAGTTGATTGAGGAGGATTTGATCGACCCGCGGCTAGTCCCACTGGTGGCAGATTCCGACTCGGACGTCAACAACAGTTTACGCCCATTCTGTCACAATCCTACTCTGACTGCTTCTTCGGCTAGTAGCCCCGAACCAGAATATCCAATTGTACTCATTGTGCAATTGGTGTCTAAGAAGGCTCGCAGCGTTGCGACCCATGGTGCGCATGTTTGCCGTGTGCTGCGGAAAAAGTTGTCTCGCGACAAGGAGTTGGATACATAGGGATGAGCTAATTCTCATTCTTTCTTTTCTTTGGTTCCTGTTTTGTGGTGATGTCGTTCATCTGTTCAGGCGACATTGCCGAGGCACTCTTTCCATCCAGATGGTTTCCCACCGGGTTTTTCTGGATGTTTTAACGAGACCTCCATGTAATTATATTTTGTTCTTTTTTTTTTTTT